AAAGATCCAAACCAGCCTGGCCTATAGAGTGAGACAACATTTCAACAAAAACAATAATTTAAAAAAATTAGCTGGGCCTGGTAATGTGTGTCTGCAGTCCTAGACATTTGGAAGGTTGAGGCTGGAGGATCTCTTGAGCCCAGGACTTTCAGGTTACAGTGAATCATGATTGCACCACTGCACTACAGGGTGAGAGCAACATCCTGTGACCCCCACAATAAAATTAAACCCAGGACTTGCCCTCATGCTCCACTCAGTGCATGATGGGTTACTTCTGCAGCTCTCACCCCATCATGGCCAATCTTCAGGTCCCTACCCCTGCCCCCTTCACCAACCCAGACCCTGGAGAATCAATCAGAGAACATGATACAATTATCCTCTGAGACCTGTCACTTCCCTTATGCTGAATCTATAAAGAAAGAAAACTCCCTACAGGGTATAAGATTGAATTTGTTCTGAGGTCACTATATTGGTGAACAAGAAGTGGAAACCATATACACAAACACACACACACATATATGTGTGTGGTTCACTCTTTAACATCTTACATGAGAAATTTCTTTTGTATGTTGTATGAGAATCACAGATTTGGACTTCTCACAAGGGGATTCATGCTGGTTTTGCCCTAATTACATCGAATTAGTTCTGAGGTGTTCTGCATAATCACCATATCTACCATTAAACAGTCAACAGAAGTATGAGAAACACAAATCATTCTTGGAATATCTTGAGTTCTGTGCCACATCAAATTCTATATTTTAAAAAATGTTTTCCAGGCTGAGCTCCACGGCCCAAGACTGTAATCCCAGCAGCATGTGCGGTCCAGGCAGGAAGATTGCTTGAGGTCAGGAGATTGAGGCTGCAGTGAGCTATGATCTCTCCACGGCACTCCAGCCTGAGTCACAGAGACTCAGTCCCCCACCCAAAAAAAAACAGTTTTCCAGAAGATCTGTGTTTATTGGTGTTTATCTTTACACAAAACTTAAAGAGAAATTGAGGTTGATTTTTCTTGTTTTCATGTGACCATGAAGGGGTGAAGCAGGCAATCAAGGAACCAGCCCCAGATGACTCAGGTAATCATAGAGCAGGCCTGGGATCCACACACAGGACACACCCAGATGGAACCACAATGTCTGGCCTTCCTCTTTCTTTCCTCACACCCCATGTAAACAAATCTGGAAGATTTATGAGATTAAAAAGAGTGGTGACAGGAAAGGAGAGAGGATTGGTAGAGGAAGAAAAGTCCATTAAGATTAGAGACAATTGGGTGGGTGCGGTGGCTGATGCCTGTAATCCCAGTCCTTTGGGAGGCTGAGGCGGGTGGATCACCTGAGGTCAGGAATTCGAGTCCAGCCTGACAATATGGTGAAACTCAATCTCTAAAAAATGTGTGTGTGTGTGTGTGTGTGTATATAAAAAATAAGGGACAATTGTGAGGGAGAAGAGAAAAAATAGGATCTGAGATCCCTGATATGGATTGAAAGGGGAGTGGCAGTTCAAAGAAAAGAGGAGGGATCATCAGTATTTAAACAGACCACATCCTGTGTGAGTATAAGCTAGTGGTCCTTAGTTCAGGAGGCACTGGGAAGTTTGCTCTGACAGTTCAGTTAGTTCAGGGATTTTTTTTTTTTTTTAAATATGACCCAATGATAGAGGATTTCTAAAGAAAGCAAGTTGAAATGGATTAACAGTGTATGCTAGAAATCCTGGATACTGCAAAGACGAGCAACTTACAGCGATGAGGAATTTGTATATGAAGAATGGACAAAGTTTAACACTAGTATATTCTATTATAGCTCAATCCACATTTAATGACTTACAGGACCCGAGGGAACAGATTTTACCGGTTAAGGGCACAGAATATGTTCCAATGATTTTGTTTGGCCATAAATGTGACCTGGAAGATGAGTGAGTAGATGGCGAAAAAAAGAGCCAGAATTTGGCAAGACAATGGTGTCATTGCGCCTATGTAGAAACTTCTGCAAAGTCAAAGATCAATGTTAATGAGATGTTTTATGACCTGGTCAGATGGATAAATAGAAAAACACCAGTGGAAAAGAAGAACCCTAAAAAGAAATCACATCTGCTGCTCTAAGCCTGTAGTCAACAGCAGCTATGAGCCAGATTACAGGAATGAAGAACTGTTGCCTGATTGGAAAGTATCAGCACTTTAGTCTCCAAAAGATAAATCTCAAGAGGCTTCTCACGCTGTATATATTATGTGAAGAGTTTAGATCTTATGTTGGTTTGCACAAGTTCCCTGGAGAAAAAAAATTGCTCTTGTATATCTCTTGGAAAATAAGACAGTAGTATTTCTACTTTGCAATAGCAGTTATAGCAGGTGTGAAAATATACAAGAGCATGGATGCATTTCAAATGTTAGCTATTGCTACTATAATCAAATGATTTCATATTGACCTTTTAATCATGATTCCTCCCTATCAAGCACTACAAAGTTGAACCATTATACTTTATATCTGTAATGATATTATGAAATGTCCCCTCAACCTCATTGCAGCAGATAACTTTCTTGAGTCACTGACTTCATTTTATATTTAAAAACATATGGAATACCAGGCTGGGTGCAGTGGCTCATGCCTGTAATCCTAGCACTTTGGGAGGCCGAGGTGCGTGGATCACCTGAGGTCAGGAGTTCAAGACAAGCCTGGCCAACATGATGAAACCCCATCTCTAAAAAAACAAAACAAAACAAAACAAAAAATGGAATATCATCTGTCATTACATTGTAATTAAAATTGTTTCTGCATAATGCTTTGGAAAAATGGTCTATTTTCCTACAGAAGAAAAAAAACTGGAATAACTGATTTCTATGGCTTTCAAAGCCAAAACATGTAATATACTAAACCAATTTTAATATTGCTTCTTGTGTTTTACTGTCAGATTAAATTACAGCTTTTATGGATGATTAAATTTTCGTACATTTAAAAAAAAACAAAAAAACTGGCCGGGTGAGGTGGCTCAGGCCTATAATTCCAGCACTTTGGGACGCCGAGGCAGGTGGATCACAAGGTCAAGAGATCGAGACCATCCTGGTCAACAAGGTGAAACCCCGTCTCTACTAAAAATACAATCATTAGCTGGGCATGGTGGTGCATGCCTGTAGTCCCAGCTACTCGGGAGGCTGAGGTAGAAGAATTGCTTGAACCCAGAAGGCGGAGGTTGCAGTGAGCCGAGATCATGCCATTGCACTCCAGTCCGGGTAACAAAAGTGAAATTCCATCTCAAAAAAAAAAAGTTTTAAGAATCCTTCATGTAGAGGTGTGGTGCCTTTTACTTGTAATCCCAACACTTTTGGAAGCCATGGCCGAGGGATTACTTGAGGGCAGGTGTTCAAGACCAGCCTAGAAAATATGGTAAAACCCTGTCTCTACTAAAACTACTAAAATTAGCCAGGCATGCTGGCATGCCTGTAGTGCCTGGTACTTGGGAGGCTGAGGCAGGAGAATCACAGAAACCTGAGAGGTGGAGGTCCCAGTGTGCTGAGATTGTACCATCATACTCCAGCCTGGGTGAAAAAAGCGAAATTTCAAAATCTTGCATGTTCTTCACATATACCCCAAAACCTAAAATGCAATACAAAAAATAAATAAATAAAATTTAAAAATCACAAAAAATGGAAAAAAAAAATATATGTATACTGTAATTCATATATCCATATATATATTCCTGTAGTCTCAGAACTTTAGGTGGATCATGAGGTCAGTAGGATCAGCCTGGTCAAGAGGGCGAATTCCTGATTCTACTGAAAATACAAAAATTAGCTGGGTGCGGTGGCAGGCGCCAGTATTCTCAGGTACTCGGGAGACTACCGCAGGAGAATCACCTGAGCCCAGACTGCAGACACTGCAGTGAGCTGAGATCCTGCCATTGCACTCTAGCCTGGGCGACAGAGCAACACTTCATACAAAAAAAAAAAAAAAAAAAAAAAAACTTGCCCAATGTCACATAGTAAACTGCAAAGCATCACTGGAAAAAATTATAAAATCAAAAGAAAATACGCAGTTTTGAGAAAACGGCCGGGGAGCAGTAGCTCACTCCTGTAATCCCAGCACTTAGGGAGGCTGAGGTAGGCGGTTCACCTGAGGTTAGGAGCTGGAGACCCACCTGGATAACATAGTGAGACCCCTTTTGTTTTTTCTTTCTTTCTTTCTTTTTTTTTTTGGAGACACAATCGTGCTCTGTCGCCAGTCTGGGGTGCAGTGACACAATCTCAGCTCACTGCAACCTCTAACTCCTGGATTCAAGCAATTCTCCCTCCACAGCCTACGGAGTAGCTGGGACTACAGGCGCATGCCACAACACCCTGCTAATTTTTGTATTTTTAGTAGAGACGAGGTTTCACCATGTTGGCCAAGATGGCTTCCATCTTCTGACCTCATGATCCACCCAACTTGACTTCCCAAAATACTGGCAGTAGAGGCCTAAGGCATCACGTCTGTCTGGTGAAACCCCGTTTCTATTATAAATAGAAAAAACTTAGCCAGGTGTGGTGGCTGTAACCCCAGCTACTCCTGGGGCTGAGGCAGGAGAATCTCTTGAACCTGGGAGGTGGAAGGTGCAGTGAGCAGAGATCGCATCATTTCACTCCAGCTTGGGCAACAAGAAGGAAACTCTGTCTCAAAAAAAAAAAAAAAAGGAAGAAAAGAAAACATACAAAAAGGACTCTCGCAGTGTTAGGGACAGAAGAAGTACTCACTCCAGCCTCCAGGTATCATTGTGCCCCCCTTCCCCCAAGCACACACACACAAAGCAATCTTCTCTACTATTTAAAATCAGGACATTAAACAGCTCTGTAGGCAGGATCACCACCCTAGTATAAGCCACCTAGGTCTCTTTCCTACATACACAATGGTGCCTCCAATTTCCTAATTCTGTAGCTAAATTGATCTTTTCAAATACAAATATCATTCTTTCATTTTGCAACTGAAAACATTCCACTGGTCTTTTACTACTTTATGGAAGCAGTTGGCAAACCTTACCTTGCATTATAATCACCTGGAGGTGCTGGTAAAAGATTGCCTGGGCCACTTCCCCAGTTTCTGATTCAGTAGATCTGGTTTCTTCCCTAAGTTTCCAGATGATGCTGCTGGCTGGCAGACTGCTCTTTGTGAAGGAAACCAAGCAAAAAGATCCTTTAAGATCTAGTCCAAGTTTTTTGCCTGGCTCAACATCTTGTCACATATCACAATTATAATGTGATTTTACAGCTATTCTGCAATTCTTTACCTAACGTGCAAAAATCCCTCATTAGGCAGCAAGCTTCTTGGTGGAAGTATATATCTAGCTTGTCTGAGGAATCAATAAAATCAATGTTAGAGTCCAATATCTCAGTTTCAACCTTGGTCATATTGGATGCACCTAACACGCTTTAGGTGCATACTTAACGTGCCTTCAGCTAAAGCATGTTTGGTGAAATGATAATTCACCATCTACCACGGCGAAATGATAATTCATACCTGTGTGACCCTCCTGAGGATTAAAGGATGCTTCCATAGGTCAGGGGTGCAGGTGTTGTAGGTTGGTGGGTTCTCAACTGGCAGCTACCATTTCACTCCCTTAACTTCCCACCCCCACACCCAAACACCTACATTAATTCTTTGAAAATAACATGGCCACTTCATAAACCCTAATTCAGATAATAACATTTAAAGCTTAATTGACGCAGCCTCCGTCCCCCTTCTAACTCTACAATCTTGAATTTTTCACAAAACCTTCGCCGGAGACTAAGGCGATCCAGTTGTTGGCAAGCTGCCACTCAGAGGTTTAGGCACAGAGAATGATCCGGAAGCCCCTACCCTGTGAAGCCTCCTAGCGAGGCCCTCCTGGACCTTTCCTGTGGCCTTCCCAGCTTACCTGGTGCAGACAGATCTGTGACCCTGGCCAGGGGGGTTTGTAGGACTCACTGAGCACCGGGAGGAAGGTCTCAGACCCCCCACCCCACCAAGTGAGCGCCTTCCTGTCTGGGGCTCAGCCTGTGCGGTGGTTGGCGAGTCCTCCGGAAGTGGGAGGGGAGGGCCTGCGCGTGCTCTGTGACCCTGGGTGCAGCGACAATGTGAAGCTTATGAGAGCTGGGGCGACCTCCTCCATGATCAGGGCCCAGTTGGCCCCAAGTGGCATTTAATTCCCCTTTTTATCTTTTCGGATTCTTACAATTTTTTATTTATATGAGCACACTTGAGGGTCCAAGTGAGGCTGCAAGCTGATTAAAAGCTTCACCAGCACAGCGTTCCCTCCCAGATGGTGAGGGAGGAGAGTGCTTTGCACCTTGAAGTCGCAGGGTGGAGTCATTGAGTATCCTCCATCTTTGAAAGAGTAACAGTGGTGCCTGTGGATCAGTTTGCATCACAGTGGCTGACTGGGTGGATCCCTCACACCCTGTGGGATTGTGCCCCACTCTACCAACCCAGGTTCACCTCTGCAAGTGACATTTCAGTTGGAATTTGAGGGTTGAAGAGGCATTCGTTGGACAAATTCCATGGTCAAAGTCTTTAAGGCTGAAAGAAGAGCAAATGTGGAGACTCTCAACATTAAAGAATTTAGTACAGAGCCGGGCGAGGTGGCTCACACCTGTACTCTTACTGCTCTCAGAGGCTGAGGCAGACGGATCACCTAAGATCAGGAGTTCGAGACCAGCCTGATTGACATGGTGAAACCTCACCTTTAAAAAAAAATTAGTACAGGCTGAGCATGGTGGTGCACACCTGTAATCCAAGCCCCTTCAGAGGCAGAGGTGGGAGGATCGCTTGAGACCAGGAATTCAGGAGAAGCCTGGATAACAGCCAGACAGTGCCTACACAACAAAATGCTTTATTAATAATTTTTTTTTTTTTGAGAAAGAGTCTAGCTCTGTTGGTTGTAGTGGTGTGATCTCAGCTCACTTCAATCTCTGCTTCCTGGCTTCAAGCAATTTTCCTGCCTCAGCCTCCCGAGTAGCTGAGACTAAAGGCGCACTCTGCCATGCCCAGCTATTTTTTTTTTTTTTTTTTTGGATTTAAGTAGAGATTGGGTTTCACCGTGTTGCCCAGGCGGGTCTCGAACTCCTGAGCTCAGGCAATCCACCTGCCTCAGACTCCCAAGTTCTAGGATTACAGCCATGAGCTATCCCGTCTAGCCAGAAAGGGTAATTTTTTTTTTTAGACGAAGTTTCGCTGTTGTTATCCAGACTGGAGTGCAATAGCATAATCTTGGCTCACCGCAAACTCCACCTCCGGGATTCAAGCAATTCTCCTGCCTCAGCCTCCTGAGTAGCTGGGACTACAGGTGCGCATCACCATGCCCAGCTAATTTTTGTATTTTTAGGAGAGACGGGGTTTCACCTGTTCACCAGGATGGTCTCGATCTCTTGACCTCGTGATGCACCCGCCTCGACCTCCCAAAGTACTGGGATTATAGGCGTGAGCCACTGCGCTCGGCCCCAGAAATGATAATTTTTAAAAATTTGGTTGAAGAGGAACTGAACGAGGTCATTTGGCTGACACTAAAACGTGGGGAGTTGCAAGAAGTAGAAAAGATGGAAAATGGCTTTTGTGAGGCTTGTGAGATAGGCAAGAATCAATGCTGCGAGGAACTTTAGGCAAAGTTGAGGATTTTGGTTTTTGTCAAATGCAAAGAAAAGCCAGTGAAGGATTTTAAACATTACGTAATAAGATTGGAATGGTGGGCCGGGCGCGGTGGCTCAAGCCTGTAATCCCAGCACTTTGGGAGGCCGAGACGGGTGGATCACGAGGTCGAGAGATCAAGACCATCCTGGTCAACATGGTGAAACCCCGTCTCTACTAAAAATACAAAAAATTAGCTGGGCACGGTGGTGTGTGCCTGTAATCCCAGCTACTAGGGAGGCTGAGGCAGGAAAATTGCCTGAACCCAGGAGGCGGAGGTTGCGGTGAGCCGAGATTGCGCCATTGCACTCCAGCCTGGGTAACAAGAGCGAAACTCTGTCTCAAAGAAAAAAAAAAAAAAAAAAAGATTGGAATGGTGAAATAATGCCTGTTTACAATTCGGGAAAAAGACCTGTTGATGCCTTTAATAGATCCTAGAAAGGGTGTGTTGTGGACAGTTGAGTAGAGTTGTGACCTAGACAATCAACAGATTAAAAAAAAGTCCTGGTTGGTCAACTTTTTGAAATTCCAGTGGCTCCTGACAAAGAAAAAAAAAGAGATACTAGGGGCAGCAGTTTTCCCCATATTACTTTGCCATGGGTGAGTGTAAAATTTATTTATTTGTTATTTTCCCCCATGCTGGAGTGTAGTGGCACCATCCTAGATCACTGAAAACTCTTGCCTCCCGGATTCAGCCTCCTGTGTTCCAGTGACTCTCCCGCAATAGTGTACCGAGTACCTGGGATTACAGATTTGCACCACTATGCCCAGTTTTTTTTTTTTTTTTTTTTTTTTTTTTTTTTACTACAATCAGGGGTTTCACTCTGTTCCCCAGACCGATCTTAAACTCCTGGGCCCAAGTGATCCATCTGCCTCAGGCTCCCAAAGTCCTGGGATTACTTACAGGCATGAGCCACCATGCCCAGTCTTTATATTATATATTTTAAATTGAAACGAAGGAGCCAGTCGCAGTGGTTTCTTTACCTGTCAGAGTATGTGGCATTAAAAATTACTTAAGATACCCAAAGAATTATAATTGTTTTTTTTTTTTTGAGACGGAGTTTTGCTCTTGTTACCCAGGCTGGAGTGCAATGGTGCGATCTTGGCTCACCACAACCTCCACCTCCTGGGTTCAGGCAATTCTCCTGCCTCAGCCTCCTGAGTAGCTGGGATTACAGGCACAATGCCACCATGCCCAGCTAATTTTTTGTATCTTTAGTAGAGACGGGGTTTCACCATATTGACCAGGATGGTCTTGATCCCTTGACCTCGTGATTCACCTGCCTCAGGCTTCTGAAGTGCTGGGATTACAGGCTTGAACCACTGCGCCCGGCCTCATAAATGTTTCTATTGTGAAGATACATACATACGTATATCTAAGGCAGCACTATTGACAATAGCAAAGACTTGGAACCAACCCAAGTGCCCACCAGTGATAGACTGGAAAAAGAAAATCTGGAACATTTCTTCATGAAATACTATGCAGCCATAAAAAAAGAATGAGATCATGTCATTTGCAGGGACAAGGAAGAAGCTGGGAGCCATCATTCTCAGCAAACTAACACAGAACAGAAAACCAAAGAGTGCATGTTCTCACTCATATTAGTGGGAGTTGAACAATGAGAATACATGGACACAGGGAGGAACAACACACATGAGGGCCCGTTGGGGTTTGGGGGTGAGGGGATGGAGAGCATTAGGACAAATACCGACTACACGAGGGGCTTATAACCTAGTTTATGGGTTGATAGGTGCAGCAAACCACCATGGTACATATATTCCTATGTAAAAAATTTGCACATTCTGCACATGTATCTCGGAACTTGAATTAAACTAAAAGAAAAAAAAATTACTTGAGACCAGGCATGGTGGCTGATGCCTGCAGTGCCAGCACTTTGGGAGGCCGAGGTGGGTGATCTCTTCAGGTCCCAAGTAAATAAATAAATAGGTACATGCATACACACATACATACTTAATATAGGAACCCCTCAATATGACACTGAATCCTGCAAGGCTGACTATACCCCACTGGGTGCAGCATAATTTAACAGCATAGGGTCCACCTGCTAGGTGCTAATTAACCTGAAGTGATGTAATTTAAGTATTTTTCTGGAGCAGTTGCTCTTAAGAATTTTCTTCTTCCCTTTAAGAAGAGTTTAGAAGCAATCTGGCTTTCACCTTTACTCATCCACTGAGACTGTGCCAAGTTCATCAATCATCAGCCAAGGAATATTTTTCATGCCTGTCACATTCTAAGATGCTTTGTAGCCATGCTCTGTGTCTGTTCCATCTGGATTTAGTATATGTATATACGTAAAGGTCTTCCTGTTAATATATGTATATATGTAAAGGTCTGCAAGGACACATGACAGACTGTTTGCAGGTAGTTTGAAATATGTATGTATGTGCATATGTGTGTGTACACATGTGTGTGCCTGTGTACTCCTGCAGGATAGAGAAAGGAAGTAAAGAGTGGTGGTGAACACTTCACTTTAGAACCAGGCTTCCAAGAGTTCAAATCCATGCTCTGTCCTCTTCCATCTGTGTGACCTTAGCAGTTATCTTTTCTGCCTTTCTCATCTAGGTAAATAAAAAGGAGGGATGGGGCAATAACAGTTTAACTGACGTTTTAGATGTACAATGACTAAATGATTTTTCACGAGTTAAAGCACTTTGAAAAGGGTCACACATGGTAAATGTAGTATAAAAAACTTATAAAACATATATTTTGTTAATATAAATACCTGCTATCTATAAATTTGTTTTAAAAAGTTTTTTTTTTTTTTTTTTTTTGCCACAGCTGGGGTTGCAAGAAAAAAAAAAGAGAAAATTTTTTTTTCTGTTTCTCTCTGAAGACAGAAGTAAGATTATATAGGGAAGTTGTCAGGTGAGGTGGCTCATGCGTATAATCCTAGCAATTTGGTAGGCCAAGGCGGACAGATCACCTGAGGTCAGGAGTTTGAGACCAGCCTGGCCAACATGGCAAAACCCCATCTCTTCTGAAAATACAAACATCATCCAGGCTTGGTGGCAGGTGCCTGTAATCACAAATACTTGGGAGGCTGAGGCTGGAGAATCACTTTAGCCCAGGAGGTGGTGGTTACATTGAATCAAGATTAGGCCACTATCCTCTAGCCTGGGCAACAAGAACAAAATTCTATCTCAAAAAAATTATTATTAATAATGTTTTCAACTGTTATTTGTATATTTATCTCTTCTATTTTGTCAGTGTTCATCAATTTTGATTTATTTTTTGTTTGTTTGTTTGAAACAGTTTCTTTCTTGTTGCCCAGGCTGGAGTGCAATGGTATGATATTGTCTCACTGTAACCTCTACCTCCCGGGTTCAAGAGATTCTCCCACCTTGCTTTAGCCTCCCAAGTAGCTGGAATTACAGGTGCCCACCACCACACCCAGTCAATTTTTGTATTTTTAGTAGAAATGGGATTTCTCCATGTTGGCCAAGCTGGTCTCGAACTCCTGAGCTTGTCATCCATCTACCTGGTCCTCCCAAAAAGCTGGGATTAGAGCTGTGAGCCACTGCACCCAGCCCAATCATTTGTTAATTGGTATGTTAATGCCTTTATGATGTAATGCCTGTTCTGTCTGATGACCACTGCTCTGTTTTGGCTTCTGTTTCCATAGAATACCTTTTCACTCATTCACTTTCAACCTATTTGTGTGTATGGATTCAAAGTGAATTTCCTTTAGACCATACACATGAAAATCATTTTAGACTTAATTCTTCCAATCTGCCTTTGAATAAAGAATTTAAGCCATTTACATTTAAAATAATAACTGATAGGGGATTTACTTTTGTCATTTAACTATTTGTTTTCTAAAGTATGAGTAGCATTTTTGTTTCTCATTATTTCTATGCATAGTTGATGCTAAGATAAAAGC